TATGTGTAAATTGACGCAATCTTTTTGGAGGTACATTTGGCAACATAGCTCAGAAACGGAAAACATTCAGACTCTTTCACAAATGAAGTCCACTTACGGGAAATGTTTTTCCAAAGAAATAATTAGGGCTGTGTGTCAGGGTTTAGCTATAAGAATATTTGTACAGCATCGCTTTTAATGAGTAGAAACTGGAACCACTCTAAATGTCTAAGAATATTGGTGGGTTCCATAAATATTGCCATGTCCATAAACTGTAGTACTATGCAGTATTAAAAATGTCATGAAGGAATATTTAATGGAACAATGTTCGTGGTATGTATTTCTGTGGCTGTTGTTGGAATATTGTCATTTATTTATTTTGTTTCAGTTGATTTTTTTAATGGTATAAACTTTCAGTAAAAGAAATTGAGACTAAGTCTGGAATGTTAAAGAACTGAAGCAAATTTGGGGCTCCCGAGTGCCTTAGTTTCTCCTTGATCTAACCCCAAAGCACTCAGCTTTTGGCCTGGAGAACGTCTCTAGAGAAGCATTGGGTTTTGTGGGCTCTGTGATAGTGTAAAGGCCCACTAGGGCTGGAAGAATTGGTTGAGGTGTGCAGTATGGCAGCCGGTGGCATTCCTGGGAACTGATCACTATCAGATGGCTTCTGTTCCAGCTCCTCTAGACCTGGCACTGTGCAAGGTACTGAAGTGCGAATCAAGTCCAATACAACCGCGATCCCACCCTCTGGTTTCCAATAAACATAAGTTCCAGGCACAGGTGCCCAAGAGCTGGCCAATAACACCATGGTATTGAGAAACTCTCAGTCTTTTGGAACAGGCTCTGTTTTCTTCTCCGCTTCTCTTCCCTATTTCCCTCCCCTCTCCTCCCCATCCCCCACCTACAGATAGGCCTGAAACTATTACAGTTTTCAAGAGGAGAGCCTTTTTTTTTTTTTTTAAAGAAAAAAAGAAATAGTTCAAAATTAAGAAATCAAAGGCTGGGCATGGTGGCTCACCCCAGCACTTTGGAAGGCCGAGGCGGGTGGATCAGAAGGTCAAGAGATTGAGACCATCCTGACCAACATGGTGTAACCCCATCTCTACTAAAAAAGAAATATGAAAAAATTAGCTGGGTGTGGTGGCGCACGCCTGTAGTCCCAGCTACTTGGGAGGCTGAGGCAGGAGAATTGTTTGAACTTGGGAGGCAGAGGTTGCAGTGAGCTGAGATTGCGCCACTGTGCTCCAGCCTGGGGTGACAGAGTGAGACTCTGTCTCAAAAAAAAAAAAAAATTAAGAAATCAAATTTAAGTATAGGACCTTGAAAGGGATCATGTATGTGAGGGGGTCTGAGCTTAAGCTTCATACGCTTCGTGGTAAATCTACCTCTAATTCTGACTTTGGTTTCTCTCATTTGCATGAATTTTCTTTTAGTTTTTTTTTTTTTCATATTTCTTTCTTTCTTTTTTTCTTTTGAGACGGATTCTCACTCTGTTGCACAGGCTGGAGTGCAGGGGCATGATCTCGGCTCACTGCAACCTCTGCCTCCTGGGTTTAAGCAATTCTCCAGCCTCAGTCTCCCAACTAGCTGGGACTACAGGTGTGTGCCACCACACCCAGCTAATTTTGGAGACGGAGTCTCAATCTGTTGCCCAGGCTAGAGTGCAATGGCGTGATCTCAGCTCACTGCAACCTCCGCCTCCCGGGCTCAAGCGATGATCCTGCCTTAGCCTCCCGAGTAGCTGGGACTACAGGCGCCTGCCACCACACCAGACTAACTTTTGTATTTTTAGTAGAAGCGGGGTTTTACCATGTTGCCCATGCTGGTCTCAAACTTCTCAAGTGATCTGCCCACCTCAGCCTCCCAAAATGCTGGGATTACAGGCATGAGCCACTGTGCCCGGCCTGCATAAATATTTCTAAAGTGTGTGAAATATTGTCTTACAGATTTTAAAACCTTATATAAATGACACCCTCCATGACATTTTAACACAATTTGTTTTTCACACTCAAGGCTTTACTTGGGAAATGTATCCATGTTGATACACTAAGATTTGGTTTCTTTTCATTGCTATGTAGTATTCCATTGTGTGACTACCAGAATCGCTCTATTCTCCTGTTGCAGTTTTTCAATAAAAATAACAGGCTGTAATACAGAAGCAGGTTGTAAACACACACACACACACACACACACACACACACACATACACACACATTTTCTTGCTGCAGGGCAGTTAAATTAGTCCCATTTTGTTGTAATATTAGAATAGGATTAGGTGAATAAAACATTATTCTGAAAAAAAAATCTGGAAACAATACTACAAAAATGGAATATGATGCAGGCAACGTTTCGAATCAGTGAGGGAATATGGACTATTTAATAAATGGTATTGGGCTGGTGTGGTGGCTCATGCCTATAATCCCAGCACTTTGGGAGACCCAGGTGGGTGGATTACCTGAGGTCAGGAGTTCAAGACCAACCTGGCCAACATGGTGAAACCCCGCCTCTACTAAAAATACAAAAGTTAGTCTGGTGTGGTGGCAGGCGCCTGTAGTCCTAGCTACTCAGGAGGCTGAGGCAGGATCATCGCTTGAGCCCGGGAGGCAGAGGTTGCAGTGAGCTGAGATCATGCCATTGCACTCCAGCCGTAACAGATTGAGACTCTGTCTCCAAAAAAATAAAAATAAAAAAATAAATAAGTGATATTGAGAGAATCAACTCTACATATACAAAATAAATAAAACTAAGTCGCTACCTTATGTGGTATACAAAATTATACTATAGATGAATTAAAAACCTAGCCCCTCAATATAAAAATTAAAAATTGTTAGCTTAAAATGTATAAGAAAATATTATGATCCCAAATAAACGGAGATCTTAAATAAGTCACAGAAAATAAAACTCATGTAAAAAAAGGCTGAACATTTTAATTAGGTCAGTGAATAAATGTCATCCAAATAGTAAAAAAGGAACCGTACAATAAGATACCCCAATGTTAAAGACAAGCTGAGGACTGGGAGAAAACTTTGCAAATTATGTAGCAAAGAATGAGTACAACAGATGAATTTTTTAAAAAGCCCTTTAGAAAAATGATCTAAGGGATGGGCACAGTGGCTCATGCCGGTAATCCCAGCACTTTGGGAGGCCGAGGCTGGTGGATCACCTGAGGTCAGGCGTTCGAGACTAGCCTGACCAACATGGTGAAACCCCGTCTCTACTAAAAATACAAAAATTAGCTGGGTGTGGTGGCGGGCTCCTGTAATCCCAGCTACTCGGGAGGCTGAGGCACAAGAATAGCATGAACCTGGGAGGCGGAGGTTGCAGTGAGCCGAGATCTCACCACTGCACTTCACCCTGGGCAAAGGATCGAGATTCCGTCTCAAAAATAAATAAATAAATAAATAAATAAATAAATAAATAAAAAGAAAAAGAAGAAGAACAAGAAAGAAAAATGGTCCGAGGATATGCATAGACAATTCACAAAAGGGGAAATACACATGGCCACAAACAAATAAGAAGATGCTCAAACACATTTTTTATCAGGCAAATATCAATGAAAACAATGGCGAGATGCTGTTCACACTTACTCAGCTGGCCACCTTGAAAGATCTGGTAGGTGAAGGGTTGTCAAGATTGCAGGGAAACAGGAACATTCATGCTCTGCTTTCATACTTAAAACGGCAAGGACAATTTGGGCATACCTCAGACCCACTATCTCCTCTCGCAGGAATTTAGAATAGAGAAAAGGAAAACACAGATGTTTACTGCAGTGTTGTTGGTAGTAGTGAAAAGTTGTTAATGATATTTAGTGTCTGCTAAAAGCTTAAGAGGTCAAATAAAATATGGTATATCCATATAATTGAATGCTATTCAACACAAAAAAGCCTTATATATATTTTTATATGTGAAATTATACATATGTATACATATATATACACATGAATGCATATGAAATTCTGGAAGGAAACACACCAAACTCCCAAGAGTGGTTGGGCGCCTGAGTAGCAGGGAAGGATTTGGAACTGTGGGAGGTGGTCAATGGGTAATTTAGTCTTGTACATGATGCCCACTTTTGTTTAAAAGGGGTCTGTATCTGTGTCTCTTTTTCAATTAAAAATAATTTAAAATATAAAAGACTGGAAAGATGCGTTGTACGTTCACAGTCCTATCTCTTGGGAATGAAATTATCAGTGACTTTTAGCTTGTTCTTTTTTCTTATCTGCACTTTCTAAAATTTCCACAATGTTTGTCTACCACGTCTGTAATAAGAAAACAGTTATTTTTTAAGGATTATGGAAAGTTTCAAAAATTCTCAAAAAGTTAGTTTTAGGTTAGCTTAAATATACGACCACTCTCTCCTCCATCATTTAGATAGACAGCACTGTATTTGGGAGGGGTGGCAGGTTTTTTTTGTTGTTGTTGAAGTTTGAGACAAGGTCTTGCTCTGTCACCCAGGCTGGAGTGCAGAGGCACAACCATGGCTCACTGCAGCATGGACCTCTCAGGCTTAAGAGATCCTCTCATCTCAGCCTCCCAAGTAGCTAGGACCACAGGCATGCACCACCACTCCCAGCTAATATTTATTTTTGTTTTTGGTAGAGATGGAGTCTCCCTCAGTAGCCCAGGCTGGGCTCAAACTTCTGAGCTCGAGCAATCCTCCTGCCTGGGCCCCCCAAAGTGTTGGGATTACAGGCGGGAACCACTGTGTCTGGCTCGTGCGGCAGCTTTTATTGCAAAATTAGATAACTCCCCGAACTTTGGAAGTATTTTTTAAAAAAGCTTCCAAGATTCACTTAGCCAAGACTGCTCAGGGGGTTTTAAGTAAATGGCTCTTCCACTTTTCACTGATGTTCTATTAACCAGCCATACTCCAAGGGTTTGACTTACTGACAATAAATATTTAACTCCAGTTAAACATAGCTACTTTCTGGAAATGAGTCTTCTCAGATAGCTGAGGGTTTATCCTTTTAAATTCTTAAAAATTTTTACATGGTAATAATTTCTAGAATATGTTACCTACTTTCCTGCCTCTGAACACAGAGGATCTAGTTCTAGCCTTCTCAGCCTTGCCATTTCTGAAGGCTGCTATGTATCGATACTGTGGGTATCGGCCTTCAAGCTCCCTTTTTTCTTCCAATTCACCACGGGTTTAGAAATTAACTTTTTGGGTTTGTTTATACAATAATCAGCCTGAGGGTTCATACCAGAGGATTCCCTAAGATCAAAGAACACACAGATTTTATGAAATCTATTTTGGCTGTTTCCCAGCCCTTTTTGTTTGTTTGTTTTACCGCTTTCTGATTTTCAGTAGTGTTCTGAAGTGCTGGCTTCAAGTCTGTGAGGCGGTAGAGGATAGAGAGGAAAGAACAGCTTCATTCCTTGCTAAACCGTGATCTCTCTAAGGTCCAAAGTTGTGCCATGACCCCAAGGCTCTTGTTACAGAAATTAGACGCCAATAGATGAAATGTGAGAACAGCCCTATATTGAAACAGAAACTGGAGTCGTACAGTATCTTCTATAAGATTTTGTGATTTTATACAAGAATTTTCCAAGACAGATCAGGTGATTATTAATAACCCCTGAAAGTCACAAGTCTATGCAGCTGAGAAGTGGGAGCCCAGGGAGGTGTGTGCAGAGCTGAGGCTGTCATCACAGACCTATTCTTTGCAAAATCTGAAGGGAAAGGGAAGGGAGAATGTAAAACTGGGCTGCAAAGCTCAAGTCTCACAAATAAGGACTTTTCTTATTTGCATGTCACTTCATACTGCGATAACCAGACAGTAACATCATGAGTGGTGATTCACAACGGAATTCCAAGCCTCTGAGTCCAGGAAGTCATGGCTCATTAGATGTTATCACTTCGCTGGGAGGGGATGATGATCAGATCTAATAAAAACACAAAGGATGAAGATTCCAAATTCCTTTAAGAAGGAGAGTTTTCCTTCTCAAGAGTGCAGGGCCTGTGCAAATTGCTCCCGTGACACGTACATGCAACAAAAGCTCAGAACAAAATAGTAAAGAAAAAGGGGTTGGCCTGTTTATAAGTCTCCTCCAGGGTCCGCCATTCAATCTGATAGATGACAGCTCCTCAGGAGTCAATGTTATGCAGCATGAAGCACAGGAGTTCGGGAGAGATGAGCTGTCCATGTCTCTGAGCTTTTCCATCTCTCTGTGCTTCAACGTCCCTTCAATAAAGCGAGTTTCACCCTTTGCTCTGCCGGAAGGCAAAAATAAATGACTGCTTGAGAAGTACTTAGAGTTAGCAGGGGGTTGTGTGAGATCAGAGTATAGCATTGTCTCCCCTAAAAGGCCTAATCCTGAATGGGAGAGTCGGGTGACCGTCCTCCTTGGGGTATAGTTCATTCTGGTGCTTGACTTCCACAATAGGAGATTCAGAACACCCACAGGGAGGGCATTGGGAATGTGCTTGAACTCCTGGAATATTGGTCCTGGAAAGGGCCTTAAGGATCAGTTCCCTCATTTTATAGACACAGAAATGGCGGCCCAGAGAGGTGGAGGAATTTATTTAAGATCACACAGCTATTCCCAAATCTAAGCCTGCAGATCATAAGCCTGGTACTCTCTCTACAGACTTTCTCAAAGTGGGGTCCCCTGATACTTCACCTCAGAATAACCTGGTGGGCGTATGTGCATAGGGGAGATGTTGGTAGTGGTGAAGAGAGTTGCTAAAATGCAGGCTCCTGGGTCCTACCTTAGATCTACAGAATCAGAATCTCTGGGAGTGGTCCCTGGGAATCTGTATTTTAGCATCAAGAGAATCTTATGCAGTCCTGCTTTGTTTCAGCAACACCTGGATGTGCTGGCTTCTAAATGATCTATGCAGCATAGCTCTCGTTGATAAAATGTCTCCTAGAGAACATAAAAAGAACATATCCTATTAGTAGCCATTGGACAATGCCACATCCTCAATTGTTTACAGTGTATGATAATCAGTTTAATGTCCTTGAAGCCAAAATCATACCAGACAATGTTTTGAACAATCAGAGCAAGCTGGAGAAACAAACTTACCTCATATTAGCCCTTTAAGAGCCTCTGTTCCCCTGGGTTCTAACGAGGGTGTGTGCTGGGGACAGGTCACTCCCAGCTTATCCTATCGTACCCACCACCTCTCTGAGAGATCTCACTCGGTACATGTGGCTCTGGCCTGAGAGCAGATGGTTTCTGATATAGGACTGAACCACCCTCTCTCTAATCAACCAGAAAGGACCTGGCAAGTCAGTGGGAGATAAATATAGCTGAGCTCTCCCGGGAGGAGCCCCCAGGAGAGTTAAATATGGTGTGTGAGCAAATGATGAACAGATCAGCGGCTTCCTCCTACTGTCCCGCAAAGGCCATTTTCACAACAGGAGCAGCTGCACAACACTCACAAACAGAAATGGACTCAAAGATAGAACCTCCAAAACCAGCTGGATTCCTGTTCCTCCATAACAACTGGCCCCTTAGGGAGGACTTCACTCTTGGGTGCCTGTATACCTGATTCTCCCGCCTGCCTTGCCGCCTGTCCTTGCCTGCCTCCAGAGGCTCCTGCCGAGTCAGAGCCTTTGAGGCCCTCTCTTGCTCTTAACGTCCAGGTAACATGGAGCAAAGACAGAGCTGAATTTTAAGAACCACCCCGGCCGGGCGCGGTGGCTCAAGCCTGTAATCCCAGCACTTTGGGAGGCCGAGATGGGCGGATCACGAGGTCAGGAGATCGAGACAATCCTGGCTAACACGGTGAAACCCCGTCTCTACTAAAAAAATACAAAAAACTAGCCAGGCAAGGTGGCGGGCGCCTGTAGTCCCAGCTACTCGGGAGGCAGAGGCAGGAGAATGGCGTGAACCCGGGAGGCGGGGCTTGCAGTGAGCTGAGATCCGGCCACTGCACTCCAGCCTGGGCGACAGAGCGAGACTCCGTCTCAAAAAAAAAAAAAAAAAAAAAAAAAAAGAACCACTCCGTCAGGGGAAATCACTCATTACAGTCAACCTCCTTGGCCACAAACCGCAGGGAGGGATAGAACAGGACCACTGAAGTTGCCTTCAGCCTGCATGTATTTACTCTTTTCAAAGGTCACCTTGTGGCTTGAGAAGAGACAGGAAAGGATGGTTATTTTAATTTCTCTAAAAGTTATGCTAGAAAGCAAAACCAGAGGCACCAAAAAACCAATTCCCAAAACTCAGATCAGTGCCCTCCAACACAAACTGTTCAGACAACATTCCTCCAATAAATAAGCCGCTCTGGGGGTGCAGCCACTGAGGCAGGGCCGCTTCCTGCTGGGTGGCATGGGTGAACACCTTTCGTGACTGCCCACACATAATGCAGGGTGTGGACCAAACAGACTCAGAACTCTGCTTTTGTTGGTGCTCTGAGAGTACTTTGATGTCTCAGGGCCTGGTTCATATTTTTCAAACTCTCAAAACTAATGTATGGAACTAGACTGCCAACCTGTTCATGAATTTACAATGATGAATAAATAACCCAGCTCCAGAGCGTGGACACATTCCCTCTGTGTAGGGAGAGCCTTGTAGAAACCAAAGCGTGGCCTGGATGGTTACCTGGTGAGCACAAAGCCACAGTCAAGGGAAACTAGATAAATCAGGCATTTTGCAGCATCAGTATAAACAGTAGGGCATTATACACCTGTCCAACCAAAGGCCACAGGATACTGGCATGCCACCTGTGCTCACAAGCCCTGTGTGTCCCAGTTCCAGGAGACTGTCAGCAGGTGGGACCTCCAGGCCTTACCAAGGCTGTGCCCTTTCCTATCTCTGTGGGGACAGGCACCACTGAGGTCTCTAGGTGTGATTCTCCTTTTACTCCCAGACTTCAAAACTCTTTTTCACTAACCCATTTTTTTTCCTTCTCTAATGGAAGCATTGCTACTTGCAATCCATTAACAGTCAGGTTTCATGCACCTGAGCATCCTCCTCTCTTTCAGGTGGCTGTGCAGCTCTGATGTACTCTATGCAAACTCTCAGCTTTGACCGTTAGAGGAAAGCCAAATTTCCCTCATTGCCAGAGTTATGAGGGGCACCACCCCATGGCCCCCTAAGTACTAACTGATAGCAGTTATAAATCAGGTTTCCAGGAATGAAGACCGGATTGGGAATTTTTGTTGTGTTTGCCTTCTTCTCTCCTACGCTCCCAGTGCTGTGGCATATAGTTCAAAGACCTCAGACGAATGTTGGCCAAAACCTCCAAATGGAAGCTAAGGAGGTCACCGTACTGAGAAAATTCCTGAGTGGAAAAGTGCAGCGGGCACGGCTGTGGCCCATCCTGTCAGTGATCATTCCCTCTCTGGTATGGTTCGGCTTTGTGTCCCCACCCAAATCTCATCTTGAATTGTAATCCCAGGTGTTGACAGAGAGACCTGGTGGGAGGTGATTGGATCATGGGGGCAATTTCCCCCATGCTGTTCTCATGATAGTGAGGGAGTTCTCATGAGATCTGATGGTTTTATAAGGGGCTCTTCCCGCTTCGCTTCACACACACGCTCTCCTGCCTGCTGCCCTGTAAGACATACCTGCTTCCCAGCGCCATGATTGTAAGTTTCCTGAGGCCTTCCCAGCCATGTGAAACTGTGAGTCAATTAAACCTCTTTTCTTTCTAAATTACCCAGTCTCAGGTAGTATCTTTATAGCAGTGAAAGAATGGACTAATACACTCTCCTCCCTTTCTTGGTCACTAGCAGGGACTATCTGGGTTGACTGAGGAGCCTCTGGTTTGGCTTGGGAACAGAAAATTCCAGCCTGGGAGATCCAGCATGTGGCAGCAGAGCGAGAGTTATCCAGGAGTCACAGGGAACACAAAGTAGAATCAGAGGGAGGTGACAATCAGAGAGCAGCTTGAACCTCGTGGGGGTGTTTATTAAGCACTTAATACTTACAGAATGACTGACTGACTGACTGAATGAATGAATACCTGAATAGTTCGACCATCTCATTTTACTAAGGAGGAAGCTGGAATCATACAAGGAAGCTGATTTGCTCCAAGTCCCATAGTCTAGCAGTGGCACATGGGATGGGTTTGTAGGTGATATGAGTCCTAACTCTTTTGTTGTGATATCACAATGATGGCAATTGGGTAAATGGGGGGCAACAGGGTGGAGAGAAGGAAATAAGGGTGAAAACTAGGAATCCTATAAAAAGAGTAAAATGATTTTGAGTCCTCTTATAGAAGAGTTTCTATAGAGGTTGAGTTTCTTATAGAAGAAGAAGAACTTGATCAGCACTGGCCCCAAAGCTTGCCCTTGTCTTGACCCTTGATAGCACACCTTCTGTACTCCTCCCGCCCCCATCCACCCCAATCAAGCATCTTCCTGGAGAAGGCACCGTTACTTATTTCCTTTCTCTTCCACCTTTAGTCCCTCCCCTCTCTATGCCCCATAGGTGACATGTATGATCAGCATCTCATCCTAAGTAAAATTTTCACTTGATCTAACTCCCTTATTTCTCTTTTATACTTCAAACTCCTTGAAAAAAGTGCCTAAGCTGGGCACAGTGTAATCCTAGCACTTTGAGAGTTCGAGGTGGCAGATTGCTTGAGCCCAGGAGTTTGAGACCAGCCTGAGCAACGTGGTGAAACCTCGTCTCTACTAAAAAAAAAAAAAAAAAAAATTAGCTGGGAGTGGTGGCACATGCCTCTAGTCCCAGACTTGCACTGTTTTAATACGGTAGTCACAGGCTCCATGTAGCTATTAATCACTGGAAATATGGTTAGGCTGAATTGAGATGTGATGTAACTATATATAAAATATATACTGACTTCAAAGACAGCATGAAAGAAGAATGCAAAAATCTCATCAGTAATTATTTTGGATAAATTGGGTTAAATAAAATATATTATTATTAATTTCACCTTCTTCCTTTTACATTTTTAAGGTGGCTACTAGAAAGTGTAATATTGCATAATGTGGCTTGACTTCTATTTCTACTGTCTTGACTCTGCTTCAAAGCACCAACAGACCATATCCAACACAAAGCACAGTGCTTATCAAATTAAAATGGGCACTGGGTTTCTGGAACAGCCTGTGTTCTCAAACCATCATTTACAACTGCCTTTTAAATGAGGGGGCACTGAGGTTTTGACATGGGAAGTTGTGATGAAAATAACAAGGTAACTTACTTGTTAACCAGAAAATTGGACTCTGAAAGGACAGCGATGGTGCCACCAACGTTGGCCCAGTCTTTATGTCTCTCATGAGACATCCTGGCCCAGCAGTGTTCTCAGAGGCTGGGCACGTGACTTCCTGAGGACAGTTAGAGCCTTCTGTGACCAAATAGGATGTCCACATAAAGCATTTGATGCCCTGAGCAGAGGAGGAAGGAGTGGGGACGGAGCATAGAGTCATTGAGGAGCCCCAGACAGCAGGAAGGACTTGAGCCCTGATGCCGGCTGTGTATTAAGTACATTCATGTTGCTGTGCAACCACCACCACCACCATCTTTAGAACATTTTCATCTCCCCAGACTAAAACTCTGCACCCATTAACACTAACTCCCCATTCTCCCACTCTTCCAGCCCCTGGTCACCCCTACTCTGTTTTCTGTCTCTATAAATGTGACTCTTCTAGGTACCTCATGTGAGTGCAATCACACAGTATTTGTCCTTTTGTGACTGGCTTATTGCACTTAGCATCATGTTTTCAACGTTCGTCCATGTTGTAACATATGTCAGAATTTCATTAAGGCTGAATAAGATTTCATTGTATGTATACAGCACATTGCGTTTATCCATTCATCTATTGCTAGGCCCTTGGGTTTTGAAATTTTGCGTATTTCTAACTACTAGTTCCTTCTTATAGGGAACTGAAATCTGCCTTTCTAGGACTTAGCCTCATCCCTCAGCTCTGCCCTCAGGCCCCACCACACCAGATGAGTCCTCTTCCCACAGGAATCCCTGGATTTGAAGGGAGATCCTGATTTCCCACCCCAACTCTTCAAAGGCTGAGAAGTTTCACTGACTGTTCATAAATTCCAGACTCATTGCCTTTGTGGTTTAAGTCTTCAGACCCACTTCAGTTGACTAATGTCTTTTCGAAAACGAGTTATTGTAAACGGTGCTGACCTGTACCCTATGCTGGAGAAATTTGGATAAATAAAATATATTATTAACATGAATTTCACCAGTTTCCTTTTACATTTTTTAAGGTGGCTACTAGAAAATTTAAAATTATATA